AGAAGTCAATAAAGATGCCAGTGCTAGTTAGACATGAGCAGGGTGGATGGCACATGCAGTTAGGCTATTTTGGACTGGTTTGGGTCAGGATGACCTGGGCTATAGTGGGAATGGGGCTAATCACTAATAGAGACCTTGCAGGTGGATTGTTTTAGGAGAAATGATTAACGCTCCAGGGACTTTTTGATGTGGACAGATAGATCCGAGTTGTTATGAGAGTATGTTATGGGAAAAGAGTTGATCAATACTCTGAGAATTTCTAAGAAACAGCAGGCACCCATCAAAAGCTGTGTATAAAATCCAACATTGTGCTCTCCATGATGCCTGTAGTCTCTAGGATGAGGCCCAGCCTGCTGTCTAGGTCATTAGCCAAAACTTTACTTGCTTTTGTTCTCTTCAGTTATTTCAGTGACTACCTTGAGCTGTCACGGTGCCGCCCTAGCGTTTTGGCAAGCCAGCCATAAGCAACTCTTGTTTAAACTCTGGCACTTTGCCTGCTTGCTCTGCTTATTTATTCTGCCACTTGGTACCAGTAACCGTTCTTTGGTGCTGAAAACCAAAAACCTGGGAATGTGTGGGGACCTGACATCTGTTCCCATCCCTAACATCGGGAAAGACCATGCTTTTCCTCTTGAAATCAAAATTAAGCAGGTTCTGCTATTTCACTGTGCTTTGTAGATACTGTGTTTTTTTGTTTTTTTTTTTTTGGAGACAAGAGTCTTATTATGTCGCCCTTGGTAGAGTGCTATGGCATCATAGCTCACAGCAACCTCAAACTCTTGGGCTTAAGCAATTCTCTTGCCTCAGCCTCCCAAGTAGCAGGGACTACAGGTGCCTGCCACAACACCTGGCTATTTTTTGGTGGTAGTTTGCTGGGCTGAGTTCGAACCTGCCAGCTCTGGTGTATATGGCTGATGCCCTAGCTGCTGAGCTACAGGTGCTAAGCCTGTAGACACTGTGTTTTTTAAAAACTGAAGGTTTGTGGCAACTGCGAGTGTTATTTTCCCAACAGCATGTGCTAACTCTGTGTCTCTGTGTCAAGTTCTGGTAATTCTTGCAGTATTTCTAAATTTTTCATTATTATTATCTCTGTTATGATGATCTGTGATTTTATTACTGCAATTGTTTTGGGGTGCCACAAACTGTGCTCATATAGATGATGAACTTAATCTGTAAATGTTATGTATCTTTTGATTGCTCTACCAACCAGCTTTCCCCATCTCTCTCTCCCTTACTTAAGCTGCCCTATCCCTTGAGACACAAAAATATTGAAATAAGGTCAATTAACAGTCATACAGTAGCCTCTAAGTGTTCAAGTAAAATGAAGAATTGCACATCTCTCACTTTAAATCAAAAGCTAGGAATAGTTAAGCTTAGTGAGGGAGGTTGAAAGCTAGGCCTCTTACACTAAATAGCCAAGTTGTGAATGCAAAGGAAAAGTTCTTGAAGGAAACGAAAAGTGCTATTCTAGTGATAAACACATAAATGGTAAGAAAACAAAATACCCTTATTGCCTATGTAGAGAAAGTTTTAGTAGTCTGGAAAAATGATCAAACCAGTTACAACATTCCCTTAAGCTAAAACTTAATCTAGAACAAGGCCTTATCTTTTCAATTCTTCTTTTTTTTTTTTTTTTTTTTGAGACAGGGTCTCACTCCGTTGCCCAGGCTATAATGTAATGGCCTAACAGCTACACTGTTCGCTGTAACTTCAAATTCCTGGGCTCAAGCTATTTTCCTGCTTCAACCTCCCAGGTATCTGGGAGAACAGGCATACACCACCACGCTGGCTAATTCTTTTGTTGAATGAGGTCTCACTACGCTGCCCAGGATGGTCTTGAACTCTTGGCCTGAAGTGATTCTCCCACCTCTGCCTCTCAAAAGTACGGGGATTACAGGGATAAGCCACTGCCCCAGCCTCTTTAATTTTACAAAGGCTGAGAAAAGTGAGGAAGGTATAGAAGAAAAGCCTGAAGTTAATAGAAGTTAGTTCATGAGGTTTAAGGAAAGAAGCCATCTTAACATACAGGGCAAAGTGAACAAAGTGTTACTGTAGAAGCTGCTGCAAGTTATCTAGAAGATCTATGCAGGTTAAGGTAATTAAGGTGACCACACTAAACAACAGATTTTCAATGTAGATGATACAGCCTTTTATAGGAAAGAAATGCCATCTAGAACTTTCATAGCTAGAGAAAAGAAGTGAATGCCTGGGTTCAAGGCGTTGAAGGACAAGCTGACTCACATTGTTAGGGGCTAATGTAGCAGGTGACTTGAAGTTTACCATTCCCAAAATTGTAGGGCCCTTAAGAGTTATTTGAGGCTCGGCGCCTGTGACTCAAGTGGCTAAGGTGCCAGCCACATACACCTAAGGTGGTACGTTCGAATCCAGCCCGGGCCCACCAAACAACAATGACGGCTGCAACCAACAAATAGCCAGGCGTTGTGGCGGGCGCCTGTGGTCCCAGCTACTTGGGAGGTGGAGGCAGGAGACTTGCTTGAGCCCAGGAGTTGGAGGTTGCTGTGAGCTGT